CAGACGGCTTCAGTGGTGAAGTACCTGCTTTACAAGCACAAGGCTCTGAGTTCAAACCCCAGTGCTGGGGGGAAGAACAAGAATGACTTTTGAAGAAAATGGAATCATTATATAAGAGATAATTGCACTCCCATGTGTATTGAAGTAACAATTGAAGCAATAATTACAATAATCAAGATCTGGAATCAACCAAGATGGCTACCAACAGAGAAATGCATCAAGAAGATGTGGTATATACACATAATGAAAATTATTCAGCCATCATAAAAACAATGAAATCCTGTCATTTGTGGTAATCTTATACTAAGTGATGCAAGCACAGAAATAAGGTGCAGATAAACAAAGGCTGCAAATGTCCTGACTTATATAAGCTAAAACAGTTAGCCTCATAGAATTAGAGAGTATAGTGATCACCAGAGGCTAGAGTGAGGGAGATGAAAGAAGGTTAGATAAAGAGCACCAAAATATAATTTGCTCTGAGGAGGTACTTCTAGTGATCTATGAACTATAGTCTACAACAATTTGTGAAATATTTCCAAATAACTAGAATAGTACAGTTTTCCAATAAATAGAGATAAACATTTGAGGAGATGGAAATAGAAATGACTGGTTTGATCACTGTATAAAATATTCATTTTTTTTTTTTTTGCCAGTCCTGGGTATTGAACTCTAGGCCTGAGCACTGTCCCTGAGCTTCTTATGCTCAAGGCTAGCACTCTACCACTTGAGCCACTGCACCTCTTCAGACTTTTTCTGTTATGTGGTGCTGAAGAATTGAACCCAGGGCTTCTTATATGCTAGGTAAGCACTCTACCACTAAGCCACATTCCCAGGCCCCACTTTTTTTTTTTTTTTAATTTAGGATCTGGTTGATATCCCCAAAGTTTTTTGTTTTCTTTTTTTCTCAAAGCTAGCACTCTACCATTTGAACCACAGCTCCACTTCTGGATTTTGGTGGTTAATTTGGAGATGAGTCTCATAGACTTTTCTGCCTAGGCTGATTTTGAACCACAATACTCAGATCTCAACCTTCTACCACTGGTACCAGCTCTTTATGATCTTTTAAAAGCCTGCATTGGCAGGTTTGTGCCGATAGATTATTCCAGATGCATAGGACAACCCCTAGGATTTTAAGTAGTTGTGCATTTTAGCAGCACACTTTGGAAGCAAGGATGGAGGATGAGTTGTCAGGAGATTGTTGGAAGGCTAGTTCTAGTGCAATCTAGAAATGATAGGTGAGTATCAGAGGCCCTATTTAAGGACACATGTGGGAATAGGGATATACCAAGCATCTGGTGGAATGCAGAAGTGAGCCCAACACTGGAACAGGGCCAAATGGAGTACAGATGTGAGTCAAGCCCTGGAAATGGGCCTGATAGAATGTAGACGTGAAAACAAACCCTCAAGATGTTCCCACAAGCCAGGAACTGGTGCCTCACACCCATAAACCTAGCTACTCAGGAGGCTGAGATCTGAGGATCACGGTTCAAAGACAGCCCGGGCAGGAAAGTCTGTGAGACTCTTTTTTTTTTTTTAAAGTCTGTGAGACTCTTATGTCCAATTAACCACCAGAACACTGGAAGTGGCATTGTGGCTCAAATGGTAGAATGCTGACTTTGAGCTTAATAGCTCAGGGACAGCTCCCAGGCCCAGAGTTCAACCCAAGAAAGAAAGGAAGAAAGAAAGAAAGGAAGAAAGAAAGAAAGAAAGGAAGGAAGGAAGAAAGAAAGAGAGAGAAAAGATGTTCCCAACAAGCAACATTCAAACCATAGTTGTGATAAAGAGACAGCCAGTCAACAAAATCCACTACGATTAGCCAATCAATAAAACCCCTACTAATCCCACAAAAGCATGTCCCCAACACCATAATGGTGCTCCAGGGCAGAAGCAGCAACAGTAGTGCTCAGCTCTTTTAACTGTGAGGGAACTGCCTGAAGTGCTCCCTTGTTCTGGTGTACTAATTCACCTTTGTTTGTTTTTTTGGGTCCGGTTGTGGGGCTTGAACTCTGGGCCTGAGCGCTCCCTCAGCAATTCAGCTCAAGGCTAGCGCTCTACCACTTGAGTCACAGCGCCACTTCCGGCTTTTTTGTTTTTTGCTTATGTGGTGCTGAGGAATCGAACCCACGGCCTCAAGCATGCAAGGCAAGTGCTCTACCACTGAGCCACCTTCCAAGCCCCACCTTTGCTTTTTCTTATTCTTATTTTGGTAAATCCTTTTGCCAACCAATGGCTCAAAAATTTTAAAACAGGGTGGCATTAAGATGGAGGCAGAAATTTGAGACTTACTAAGTAGGTAAAGTAGATTGGACTTGTTGATTGATCAAGGATCCAATCAATAGTTGGGGGAGAGGGACTAACTATGAAGGCAGTGGATGAGTTCAATTTGGATATGACAAATCTGGAGAGTGTCCCTATGAACTCTAGATTGTGCTGTGTGAAAGAGGTCTGGGCTGGAGAGTTCTGATTTGGAAGCGGAAATCAAGAGGAGGTGATCCCTCAAGAGTGAGTGGAATGAATAGAGCTGTGGGCTTAAAAGTATAGACCTGCACTTAAGGTGCAGATTCAAAACTGGTGGCCCCTCAGGATGCCATTGAAGGAGGCAGAGAGAGGCCTTGGATACTGAGATGTGACTACTGAGATAGTGCAATCCTCTGGAGACAAAGGCAGTAGCAAGGGATTCCAGAAGTTGGTACCATCCACCACATCAAATGTGGCAGAGATGAAACCTGAGGAATGCTTGCTAGATTTGGTCAAATGGAGGCCAAACTATTGCTGGAAGCAAGGTGAAAAGGATGTGAATGGGGTGTGTGAGGACAGAAGTCAGATTGTTAAGAAATGGAATGGAGGCAGGTAGGGGAGACCACCATTCAAGAGGTCTGCCTGAGAGAGTAAGAGGTGCTTGGCAGCTAGCTAATTGAAGAGCTCACTGAATGGAAGATTGGTTTGACAGTTTTATTTTCAGGATCTAGAGAGACTGAGGCTGAGGGGAAGCGACCAGGAGCTAAGGGAGTGTGGAGCAAGGTGGAAAGCAGGTTTTCATGATTTGTTCCTAAACAGACTGCTTTCAGACCGTTTACCTAACTCACCCATATTGTCTATCTCATTTACTTATTTCAGCTGTGTGTGGTTTGCACAAAACTGTGATCTCTAGTTCAGAATGGCTTTGAAGCATATCTGTTCAGTTTACTATCCCCACAATGCCAAGAGAGGGCCACTAAATGGTTCAGGCCCATACAACCTAGGGGGATCATCAGCAGTGTTTCTTTCTTTCTTTCTTTCTTTCTTTCTTTTTTGTCAGTTGCAGGGCTGGAACTCTGGGCTTGGGCATTGTCCCTATGCTCTTCAGCTCAAGGCGAGCACTCTACAGCTTAGCAGTGTTTCTTGTTCCACTGAGGCATCATTATTGCCTCGGGCCTGGGACAATATTCTGTCCTAGGTCAGGTACCACCCTTTGCAGTGGACCAGAGCTGGCAGCCTCAGAGAAATGGCCTGGTGGAATACTCTTTGCCCCAGGCAAGGTGGTCCCAAGTGTGGGAGACAGGTGCTTAGTCCTTTCCTCTAAGGTGTTCAAGAAGTAATGAATTGTGTTAATAGCATGGCGAGGGCTGGGAAGGTGGCTTAGTGGTAGAGCGCTTGCCTAACATGCATAAAGCCCTGGGTTTGATTCCTCAGTACCATATCCACAGAAAAAGCCAGAAGTGGCCCTGTGGCTCAAGGGGTAGAGTGCTAGCCTTGAGCAAAAGAAGCTCAGGGACAGTGCCCAGGCCCTAAGGTCAAGCCTCAGGATTGGCAGCAACAACAACAATAAATAGCATGGTGAAATAACAATAATAGTGAGGGTCGGGCGCCTAGGGTAGAGGTGACCCTGTGCTGAAAGACATCAGGTAGCTGAGGGAAATCCCAGCTTCGCACTGGCATGCTAAGGAACTCAGCGAAAACCAAACCCACGATTTAAGTATCCGGCCGGGGTTCTGCCAGGAGATAAACCTTGCGCCCGGGGAAGTATTTAATTTGCATCCAGCGCTGTGGGAGGAAACTCCTTTCCACGGAGGGCGAGGGCGGTGTGGGGGTGGGGAGGCGGAGTGTTCCCTTGCATACTCCCCTCAGTCCATTGTCCCAAGCCTGCAAGCAGAACCTGGCGTCATACTCGAATGATAGTATTTTGTGTGTTCTTGTGGGGTGCTGGGGGTGAAGTAAAAGGTTTAGAGCTTGGTTTGGAAGCTGGGACCTGCTTCCTTCCCACCACTTCAGCGTGGGCCAGTTTGAACTAGTCACAGGGCCTCAGTTTCTCGGAACACAAAATGGGTTTGGCCTAGGTAAGATCTTTCTTGTCTTTGCACCTCAAGGATGACAGATTCCACCTCCACTCGCCAGGAAGAGCGGTCTCGGCGCAAAGCGGTCCTGGAGTGCTTTTCCCACGAAGCCTTTAGCCTGAGCGGGCTGGGGAGGGCGGGGGCTAATGAGGGAGGTGGGCGTGTCCCAAGGTTCTCCCCGCCCCCTAGACCCGCCCCCTCCCGACGTCCCCGTCGCGGCCCTCCGCCCTCGGCGCTGGGATGAGGCAATCACGTGACCTCACATCCGGCGCGGGAGTCCCGAGCTCGCGGCGCGCTCTCCCGTCTGCCCGCCGGCTCTCCCCGTGGCGTGCTCTGGCGTAGGGAGGGGGGGGGCTCGCTGCGTCGCCGGCGGCGGGAGGCCGTTTCAGAGTGCACACCGCCCCCCTCACCTGCCCGCCTTTCCCCTCACGCCGCCCGCCCTTGTTCTTCGCTCTGCTGGGCTGCACGTTGCCGCCGCGGGCGCTGACGAGCGGAGCGCGGACGCCCCTACGTCCCGGCCCGGCTCCGCTCGGCCCGGGCCCCGCCGCGGCGTCTCCCTTCCCTCAGCCCGAGCCGCGGCGCGGCGGCGGCGGCGGCGGCGGCGCCTCGAGTCCGAGCGACCCGCAGCTGCCGGCGCCGGCCGAGGGCGATGGGGCTGGGCTGAGGCGAGGCGGTGGCGGCGGCGAGGACAGCGGCGGCCCGGCCCCCCGCGGCCTTGGGGCTGCTCCGGCCAGGAGGCCGCCGAGGAGACGGCGCGGCGGCGCGGTCGGTGAGTGGCCCGGGCCGGGGGGTGGTGGGGATGCGGAGGCTGGAGAAGGCGAACGGGATTGTCGGGGTGGCGGGTACCAGGTGAGTGTCCAGGGCCGCCTCCTCGGGACCGGAATCGAGCATCCCTTGGCATCCCTGGTGCGTTGTGGAGGAGGGGGCGCTAAGACCTCCCGCTACCCCCCCCCCCCCACTGGTCCGGGACAGGTGAGGCGAGGACGGGAGGGTGCCAGTTGCGGGTGTGAAGATCTGGGGTGGACACGCGGCTTTGCGGGGAAGGCTGGCGTGTGAGGACTCTCGGGCGCGGGGTGGTGGTGGTCCAACCCTTGCTGGAAAGTCAGGAAGATCGCGTGGTCCTTTGGTCAAAAGTGGGGTGCTGGCTGGGGCCCCTGATGGATTTGCGCTGGTGCTGACTGTCGGAATCCGAGTTCCGTCCTCAGCCTAGTGCCGATTACCGCCTTTTCCAGGTAACTGAGGCCCAGAAGAGGGAAAAGTGACTGTTGACTTGCCTAAGGCCTCACACTCGGCCTGAGGCCCAGGACCAGAGCATTTTCCTTTAATACTTTCCACTCTGGCCTCTTTTGCCCCTTATTCTTTATAAACGAAGTCCGATTCTGGTGTCACTATGGCCTTCAGTGTTTTTGGACTTGAGAGGCAGGGAATGGGGCTGGGGTTGACAGTAACTGCCCGGGGCTTCCCAACTTGGAAAGCTTTTGTGACAGTTGTTTATTGTTTCCTCTTCCCATAGACCTGACTGAAACACCCTAGGATCTTGGTGTCTGGACATAGGAGGTATGAATCACTTACATAATTAACTTCTTACAATCGTCGGTGTTTTAAGAGCTATATTTAGTGGTTGTATTAATGCAAAATGAGTGGATATTATGGAGTCGTAAAACCTCGAAATCTATATACAGTTCTCAACTAAAAGAGTAAGACATATTTGAGTACATAATGACTATATTAGATCTATGTTTTTTAGATTTTCTTCGTTCTAAGAAACTTTAAAGGTGAACATTGCCTGCAGGAGTTTGACTGAAATGAAGCTGTTCTGATGGGCTGCTTTTGAAGGAAACATGTAATTTAAAAGTGGTCTACCTTTGGTTATTAAGAACTTAAGCCTTGTCACCAAGGCAAATACATTAACTTTTGTTTTACTGGAATATTTGTGGCATTCTTTTCTCTAGAGGATTGCTGCTTTGCTCAGTAGGCTTCACTTGCCAAAATAGATGTGTGTGGGCATCACATCTTGGTTTAACAACCCTTTTTAAAGGCACATCAATTCCTGGAAGTTGTTTAAAAGTGTAGACTTATTAATGATTGCTGTCGAAAATAACTTTTGCTGCTACCTTTTTCTTTTCATTATATTAGCCTGCAAGTGAAATAGTTTAGTGAAAAAATTTATTTTAAATTATCTTTAGTTGTTTGGCAGGGTTTCACCATATCAATTATGAGTACATTATGTTGGTCAATGTCACCTCTTCTGTCATTCCTTCCTCTCATCTTTCTCAGTCCCACACTGAAAAATTGTACTATTGGTGGGACAGCGATATTTTTGGTTTTGGGATTGGGCAGGAAAAGTGATCAGTTAAACAGTTGTAAACAGATATAATCAACCGAAACTATGAAGTAGCAGTTTATTTTGAAAAAAATTGAAGCTTACATCCGTTTGGTTGTAGGAGGACCAATTTCTTTGCCCAGGCCCACCAGGTAAACTTTATTTTGGGAGCCTTGTAGTATATAAATTTTAATTTACAACTGACTTGAAATAATATAAATTTCTGCGGGCACTGGTGGCTCATGCCTGTAATACTAGCTACTCAGGAGGCTGAGATCTGAGGATCCCATTTCAAAACCATCCCATGCAGGAAAGGCCATGAGACTCTTACCTCCAATTAAACACCATAAAATTAGAAGTAGAGTTGTGGTATAAAGTGCCCAGGCCCTGAGTTTAAACTCTACAACTGACAAAAGAAAAAACACAAAAGGAAATAATATGAAATAATATAAATTTCTACATAAGTAGGGAACTAACTTCCTAATATGGTGTGTGTATGTATGTATTTGGTGCCGATCCTAGGGCTTTCACCCAGGGCCTACTCAGTGTCCCTGAGTTTTTGTGCTCAGGCTAGTGCTCTACCACATAAGACACTTTATGGTTTTTGGGAGATAAAGAATCTCAAGATTTTTTGGTCCCTGCCTGGATCAGATTTCAGCCTGCTGAAATTTCCATATGGTCTCTTTTTTGGCTTATGCTGAGGTTTCAAGTCAGGGCTTGGAACTTGGTAGATGAGCCTTCTACCACATGAGCTATGCTCTCAGCCCTTTTAAAAAATTGTGTTAGTTTTTATTTATTTTATTTTTATTTTTTTGCCAGTCCTGGGGCTTGAACTCAGGGCCTGGGCACTGTCCCTGAGCTTCTTTTGCTCAAGGCTAGCACTCTACCACTTGAACCACAGCACCATTTCCAGCTTTTTCTGTGTATGTGGTACTGAGGAATGAACCCAGGGCTTCATGCTTGCTAGGCAAGCACTGTATCATTAAGCCACATTCCTAGCCCTGCTTTAGCTGGTTTGTTTTTTTTTTTTAGATAGTGTCTTGTGTTTTCGCCTTGAGTTAGCTTTAGACCACAATCCTACCTATTGCATCCTGCTTAGCTGGGATTACTGATGTCACTACAACTGGGTTATTGGTTATGAGGTCTTACTGGCTTTTTGCCTGGACTGGCCTCTAACTGTACCTCAATTTCTCTACCTCCCAAGTGGCTGGGATTATAGGTATGCCCCATCATACCTGGCCTCTCCAAATAGTTTCTTCTGATGAGACCCATTGTATTTGTTTTTAAAATTTCAAAAACAACCAGGCTTTGGTGGCTCATGTCTGTATGTAATCCTAGCTACTCAGGAGGCTGAGATCTGAGGGTCACAGGTTAAAGCCAGCTTGGGTGGAAAAGTTCCTGTGAGATTCTTATCTCTTAAGTAACCACTCAAAAACTGGAAGTGGTACTGTGGCTCAAAATGGTAGAGTGCTAGCCTTGAGCAAAAGCGCTCAGGGACAATGTGCCCGGCTCCTGAGTTCAAGCCCCATAACTGACAAAAAAAAAAGATTTCAAAAAGCAAATTTGAATTTTGAATCTTTCATGTGCATGTACTGGTCTTGGGGCTTGAAGTTTAGGGCCTGGGTGGTGTCCCTGAGCCTGTCTGTACTAGAGGCTAGTGCTCTACCCCTTGAATCACAGCTCCACTTCCAGCTTTCTCTGAGTAGTTTTTGAAGCTAGCTCTTGGCTGGCTTCAAACCTAGATCCCCAGATCTCACCCTCCTGAGTTGCTAGGGTTACAGGCGTGAGCCACGTGTGCCAGGCCCTGAGCTCTTTGTCCACAAGGCTAGTGTTCCACCACTTGAGCCATAGCTCCCCTTCTGGCTTTTTAGTGGTTAATTGGAGGTAAGAGTCTCATGGACTTTCCTGCCCAGGCTGGGTTTGACCTGTGGTACTCAGATCTCAGCCTCCTGTTCATTTCAAGTCCTAGGACCACACACACACACTCTCTCTCTCTCTCCCCCCCTCTCTCCCTCTCTCTCTCTCTCCCCTCTCTTTCTCTCTCTCTCTCTCTCTCTCTCTCTCTCTCTCTCTCTCTCTCTCTCTCCCCCCCCCCCCCCCTTTCTCTCTCTCTCACACACACACACACACACACACACTCAGAAAAGATATTGATGAGGCTGGGAAGGTGGCTCAGTGATAGAGTGCTTGTCTCGCATACATGAGCCCTGGGTTCAATTCCTCAGCACCACATAAGCAGAAAAAGCCAGAAGTGGTGCTGTGGCTCAAGTGGTAGAGTGCTAGCCTTGAGTTGAAGAGCTAAGGGACAGCACCCAGGCCCAGAGTTCAAGCCCCATGACCAGTGGCCCCCCGCCTCTCCCCCCCCCCCCCAAAAAAAAGATATTGAAGCCTGGTGCTGGTGGCTCACGTATGTAATTCTAGCTACTCAGGAGGCTGAGATGTCAGGCTCATGGTTCAAAGCCAGCCCAGGCAGGAAAGTTTGTGAGACTTTCATCTCCAATTAACCATCAGAGACCGGAAGTGGTACTGTGGCTCAAAGTGCTAGAGCACTAGCCTTGAGCTGAAGAGCTCAAGGACAGTGCTCAGGCTGACTTCAAGCCCTATGGCTGACCAAAAAAAAAAAAAATATATATATATATATATATATTGAGGGCTTACTGAAAATGTACAGAAACGCATGAGCCCCCAGTGCCTATTACAATGTTTTCATCTCTCTTAGTCACAACTGTGTGTAATAAGCTTGTGAGTCAAGGAGGTTTATTGTACTTGTTTTTGTTTTTTTTTAATCAGTCCTGGGGCTTGAACTCAGCCTGGGAGCTATCCCTGAGCTTCTTTTGCTCAAGACTAGCATTCTACCACTTGAGCCACAGCTTCACTTCTGGCCTTTTCTGTTTATGTGGTTGGTACTGAGAAATCGAACCCAGGGCTTCATGCATGCAAAGCAAGCCCTCTACCACTTAGGCCACATTCCCAGCCCTGTACTTGTTTTAGTTTATTAGATATTAAAGCTAAAATACTTGACCTGGATTTTTAGTTAGCCGTTAGCAGTTATATTAGGTAATATCAGTTTTCTATCTTTCATGTTTCTGGTACTGATTCTAATGAATATATTGACAGTAAAAGCAGATTGTAGTAGAAAGAGCATGGACTTGGGAATTAGACCTGAACTTGATTTCTTATTTTCTTGGTTTTTATTTTTATTATTATTATTTTTGGCCGGTCATGCGGCCTGAACTCTGGGCCTGGGCACTGTCCCTCAGCTCTTCAGCTCAAGGCTAGTGCTCTACCACTTGAGCCACCGCGCCACTTCTGGCTTTTTCTGCTTATGTGGTGCTGAGGAATCAAACCCAGGGCCTCATGCATGCAAGGCAAGCTCTCTACCACTGACCCACCTTCCCAGCCCTGATTTCTTATTTTCTTAACTAGCTTTGACTCATGTTAGTAATTATTTGAGTGAGTTTACTGTATACTAGGCTATCTTAAGCTCCATTTTCTAGATAAGGAAATGAAGACTAGCAATGGTAAGCTACTAGTTAAATGCAAATAGCTTCATAAACCTTTAAATAGAAACTTCTATGTTGTACATAGTAATATAGAGCTTGGGTTTTTTTTATTATTTTTTTAAAGTTAATTTATTTTTTTGGTTGATCGTTCGGCTTGAACTTTGGGCCTGGGCACTGTCCCTACACACTTCAGCTCAAAGCTAGTGCTCTACCACTTGAGCCACAGTGCTAATTCCAGTTTTCTGGTGGTTAATTGGAGATAAGCGTATCATGGACTTTCCTTGCCCTGGCTGGCTTTGAACCATGATCCTCAGATCTCAGCCTCCTGAGTAGCTAGGATTACAGGTGTGAGCCACCAGTGCCTGGCTTTGGATTCTTTTTTTTTAAGATTTAAAAAAAAAATTAATGTTTTTTTTCCTTTTCTTTTATTAATTTCAGTCATTTTTTGTTTATGTGGTACCAAGGAATTGAACCCAGGGCTTCATGCATGTTAGGCAAGCACTGTAGCACTAAGTCATATTCCCTGCCCTTAAGATTTTTTTTTTTTGGGTTGGTCATGGGCCTGAACTCTGGGTCTGGGCACTGACCCTCAGCTCTTCAGTTCAAGGCTAGCAGTCTACCACTTGAGCCACAGTGCCACTTCCAGCTTTTTCTGCTTATGTGGTGCTGAGGAATTGAACCCAGGGCCTCATGCATGCAAGGCAACAAACACTCTACCACTGAGCCATCTT